AAAAAACAAAAAGAGCGATCTGCATTCAGCTGCTCGATCCCATGTCCGCGAGTTCATAAAATCGCGCAATAGAGACTAGTTCAATTCAACAGGTGACGGCCGTCTTGACTCTTTACGCTTTCTCTGATATTCCAAGTCGATTCTAAAATGTAGCTCTGCCGTCGTGCTTCATATTTTACCTCCTGCTAATAGCCATTTTTGATCTACATTCCATCACACAATAGACAGATGGACAACCTTTTTGTTCACACTGCCCAGAGTAGGCCGATCTCTGGAAGGTCCTCGAAGATCCAAATCATCCACTGAATGCTGCCTGGCCGCTCTTCCTCGACCAGGATATATACTTCCAATACTACTGCAGCCAACTTAACAAGATCAAAGCCTTCGCTTGCTTTCAGTATATCATTGTTAAAGTTGATAACTACGGAGAAGAGCATATTATCGCCTGCGGACGTTCTGTTCCCTTCTTCTGGCCAGAACTAGCCAAAATCGGGGGTAAAATAGCCCTCGCCCACCACCCAAAGGTGCTGCATACCCTTCCAGATGAAGGTTATGATGCCATCCTGTCCCGAGCGTTCGAACAATACTTCGCCCGAGAAGGCCTTGTCCAAGCCCAAGCCCTAGATAGGCCAACCCCATTCAACGATCCCGCCGCAGCTAGAATAGAACAGCCTAACGCACTGTCCGCTATTTCTATCACTGTTTCTCCGGAATACCGCTCTCAGGGCCTAGCAGAAGCTCTTATCCTGGCTATGAAAGAAGCAGCTATCGAGCGAAACTTTGACGCTATGGTAGTACCGCTACGGCCGACACGGAAATCAGAGTTCCCAATGACCAATATGACAGATTACGTCTTATGGCGGGCGACAACCCCAGATCCCAACCTCCCGTTTGATCCATGGCTGCGGAAACATGTTCGGTTGGGGGCTAAGGTGATCAAGGTGGCGCGGAGAAGTATGCGTGTGGAGGGCAGTGTGGAGGAGTGGCAGCAGTGGACGGGGGTCAATATCCCGCAGGCTGCGCAGGGTGGGTCTCTCAAACTGGAAGCAGAATCGGGCAAGGCATATGTCGAAGTTGTGTTTCCAAGAGGCCTGGTACCCTTGCGGTATTATGTGGATGAACAGCGCTGTGTCTATATCGAGCCGAATGTCTGGCTCCATCATGCGCTACCGAGCTTCAATATACCCATCTCGCTGGATTCATCGATCGTATAACTCGAAAGGTTTCCTTTAGACATACACATGTCTGCTTTTCTGTCATCTCAATTGAGGTGGGGAACATAGTATAGCATAGTTTACTGAAGAATCATGGCCTAATCTGATTTCTTTCCACAAAGTTGGTCCTCCCATCCTCTCAGCTGATAGATTTCTGACCGCCCCTTTTCCGTGCTTTAATTCAGTTCTGGGGTTTCAAAACATACCGAAGGGTAAGGTACAATGCCAAAGATAAGCACAATGATTGGCTCATTAGGTGTGAAAATTAGCTAATAGAATCTATAATCAAAGAGTCGTAGTTCAGCTGCTGTGGGGCGTGATCGTAGATTTCTAGTTCTTTTAGGATCAGCACATGTAGTTCGAGAACTCAGTTTAACTTGAAAGTTCGGCCGAACCGGAACTAAAGGCAACCTGACCTTTCCTAATTCAGACAGTATTTAGTAGCGTTTATTAGAATTATTCAAATGCTAAATATTTCCAGCTTTTACAGGTGTTTTAAACAATCTCATTGCTAAGGAAATTTTGATTAGAGCAGAGATCAGCACAGAATCTAGAGCCATAGAACTTCCTTGATGGATCCACTGACCTGACTATTATAAACCCCCCGAATAGGAAAGGTCAGATTAATTCAGCTGCCTTCCAAGTGCCGGGTCAAAAGTTAAACCTTTGAGCTGCTATGGCTTCATATTTATTTATTTAGGGTAGAGATCTGCGTACACGGCCCACCGGTTTGATTGTACTCCGTTCGCACGGGATGGGCCAACTTTTGTTTACAAGCTTGATTGCGCAGCGGAGCATAAGCGAAGCATGGAAGCACTCCTATATTGGTACATACATACGATAGGCTTTTTTTCTCAGTGTATGAGTTCTCATTAGATTGGTCGAGAATCCAAGCCGGACATCATTTCGGCAATCTAGTCGAGTGTAAAAAGGATCTAGACAGAATTAAATAATATTCAGGTTATGTGATTCCTTCGCTGCGCACGCCTTGCAGTCTGTTCTCGGCTTCTTTTAGCACGCAGGATAGAGCATTCCGTGTCTGGTGGTATGCAAAGATGACACGGCAAGTGAGCCAGTCAATGGATTCAGACTTTCCCAATTCGTGCCTACTTCTAGCTTCGACGCGTATAGGGGGTGTACGACAGTCGGACGTCGTAAACCCTCCCATGTCTAGGCCAATCTGGACGGGGTCGAGGTTGGAATTTTTCTTATTTTTTAGATTAATTTTCGGTCTCAATCTTTAATAGTCCTGGGTCTATTCTCGATCTTAATTGTTGACCGGCCAATTTACCTAGAGTGAGATTTTGTTAGGGTATGCCAAGCCAATTGGAACGGATAGTCTATATCAGATAGAGCTACCTTCAGCTCTATTGACCCTAATACGATATCTCTAACCACTAATTTAACCCTAATCGACGATATTCGACTTCCACTAAATTTCTAGTAGTCTACTAAATCTTCTGTAAGCCGCTGTATCCTCTGTGTTCAATCTGGATGCCGGTTCTATTAATTAGATTAGTTCTAATACCTAATTTAGTAAATTATCTAGGGAATTATCTAATAGCTTGATTATCTACTGACTTTTAGGACCTCCGTGTCTATTGGCCCCCATTGATATTTTAGGGCCTTCTGAATCAGCTGGCTGGAAAGGGCCCGCAGGGGCTGCCAGATCGTAGAGTATTGCGGAAAGAGCTTTGATAATAGCTTTCGCTGATAGACTATCAGATTCAGCCAGCCTAGAATAATTGGAGGGCTCCGACAGGTCAGCTTGCTGTCTAAAGCTCACCGGCAGATCTTAGTAGGTAGGAAACAGGTAAAGCAGCAGGTATCAACCGGTGGTTTAAACTGCGGCTGCCACTCTAAGTTAAAATGGCCAATTATTTCTTGAAAGATCTGACACGTGTGTGAGCCGTGGTTGAATCGCCTAGGATCTAGGGTTTGGTATGGCTGGTTCTGCTGACTTGATTGACCTAAGATAGTTAGCCTGTGTCCATATTTCAAGATCTACTGTATACTCTACATATATAAGAGGATTGCTACTTGCTATAGACTTGTAAAAAGCAGTATAGACACTGGTCCTCCCACCCGATCTGAATTCCCTCGGTTAATATTGCTATCTGATCGATACTATGCTGATAGTACTGCTGGATCCGCTGAATAGTATTTTGATATTGATCTCCTTGTACCTGGCAGAGGTCACACAGCGCCCAATCCGTCTGGCAGACCTCCAGGTCCTCCCCATTGAAGACCCGGTGGATTGAGTGTCGACGGCAGACCTTCTCAGCTAGGTAGGCCCGGAACAGCTGCCGCTTATAAGAATCACTATCTAGTGGTTAGATCTGATGGCTTGGCCAGGCACCAGGACGACCCTTGATTCTGTGGGCTTTTAGCGGCCCTCCCTGACTCCTGTATAAAATCGGTGAATGACCAGGCGCCCTGCAGGTAAATAATTAGGCTAATATTGGTAAAATTAAAACAGGCTCCGATAGAGCTGGTGGCCATGAGGACCACGGGGCCTATCTAATCTGTGATCTGCTTGATCTGCTTGACCTGCCTGAATAAAGCGGGTTAATTGGTCTGATTTGACTGGGTCAGGTAGATCAGCATAGAAATAGTAGGTCTCCGGGTATTGGTTATGCAGATCCTCGACCAGGGCCTTGGACATTCAGAATACAATAATCTTCAATGGCCTTACAGCATTCTGATTGGTCCATTCAAAATACTTAATAAATTGAATCAGGGCCTCGGAATATTCAATCCTTTGAGATATCAGTTGCACCCCGTCGACTAGATTAGGCTTATTGATATTGCCTCTGATCACCTCAGCCTGATTGATTATCATCATTCATTTCAGCTCAGTTTCTAGATATCTAGGTAGAGTAGCAAAGCTAAAGACTATAGGAACCGGTAGCTACATAACCTGCTTCACCCATGCATCACCTGACGATAGGATTGAGCTAGGGGGTTAAATGACATTCATCAAAGATCACGCGGCCCAATAAATCCTGACTGGCTAGGGTTCTGGCATAGCTGTAGGATCTAGGCATTTCAAGAGACTCTATCGAAACCAGTAGAATTCGAGCATTTGATCCTTGGTCATGGCTATCCTCATAGATCCAGACCGAGAGTCCTAGGACCTGTGCCTTGCGGTAGAGATCAATTTTTAGGGCCACCAGGGGTGCTACTAGAATTGCTGTCTGGCTGATAGCTAGACTAGAAAAAGGGTAGTCTCCCTGGCTGCGATTGGTGGGATCAGGATCAGATAGGGCACCTTGGTCGGTAGGGCATAAAGGACCCTGGCGACACTGAGTCCTCTAATGGTATCAAAAGAATTAAATTCACAACACCATACTATGCAAATGGTATCTTCGCTAAAACGAAAGCAAAAGCTATGAAACACACTTTTGGACAAACATCAAGAATCATACATCATAAGGCTTTTTCTCAACATCATAAACCGGCGAGCAAGCAATTTACTCCTGGCCCTTAGCCAAGGACCACATAGCTTAAACACCACAGGGATGGGTATCATCACAATTGCAATGCAGCCCAGCATGGTTCCGGCCCATTGGACGCCAAGATTCTGCATCATCTGTCTCGAAAAGAGAGGGAATGCACAGCCGACTGCTGAACGGAGGATCGTGTTTGCTGCTATTGTGGAGGCCGCACTAGGCATTATCCTGTTAGCTACTGGCTCTGGGTATAGTGAGGGATTGGCAGGCTTACAGTGCGGGATAGCAGTCCACGATGTAGTTGAAGCATTGCAGGAATATAAGGAAGATTCCGGCACCGGTAAGGACTCCTGAGGCCATAGGAGCCATCCAGTGGATTGTCGATGTGTAGCCGGTCCAGCCGAACCTGTTGAGATTGTCAGTAATGGTGTTAACTAGGTATATAGACCGAGGGGCGGTAGCTTACCAGAACATCCCTCCAGTAAAGAGTACAGCGCCTAGAATGGCAGGCGAGAGACGCCATTCAGGAATAGGTTTGTCTCCATTTGCTGCAAGTTTTCGTTTATAGCCACCCTGGAGGGAAAGCATGAAGCAGCCACCGAGCAGTTCACCCAGAATGAGACCGACAAAGGCAAGGCCACCAACACCCATGTTCATACCGTAAACACCCTGGAAGACGACTGGGTATGCACCGAGTAAAGCATACATGAGGCCATAGATAAACGAGATGTAAAGGGAGATGAGGAGGAGAATGGGCTCCGTGAATAGCATGGTTATCGGACGTGTGAAGTTGTTCCGGACGAGTTCCTTGAAGTCAATCTCCACCTCGTCTTGTTTGGCGTGAATTCCCCAGTTATGCGTTTGCCGACGAAGCTCCGAGGCCTTGCGGACCAGAATCACGGGAGGGTAAGACTCATCCAGGAATAGAAAGACTAGAATGAAGCCCAGGAACACCATGATGGCAGATATGTACATAGTCCATCGCCACCCGAGGGAGCTCATGGCGATAAATCCACCCACGAAGGGGGCGGCAAAGGGTCCAATAAAGACAGCCATGCAGAAGATCGACATGATGATACCCCTCTGGGCATTGTTGAATAGATCGGCAAAGACAGCAGGGACGATTGAGAGGGGGCTGGCGGCGAACAGTCCAGCAAAGAAACGGCAGATCATAATAGTCTGTACATCTTTTGCAGTGGCACACGCAATGCTAAAGACACCACAGCCGAAGAGGCCAATGGACAACGGCCAGCGTCGTCCGATAAGCTCAGAGGCCGGCGCCCAGATCGTCGGACCGGCAGCGAAACCTAAAACATATAATGTGACGCCTAGTGAGGCAGCCTCAGTACCGATATTAAATTGCTCGCTCACGGATCCAATGGCAGCGGAGAAGACAGCACTAGCGAAGGAGCCGGCAAAGGTTGAGTAGCAAAGGATGCATACGAGAAACGCTCTAAAGAGGCGCCGTGTTAGTAACTAAATCCACTTATGTGAATCCGTTGTGGGCCAGGCGAACCTTCTCAGCATGGACCAGTTGTAGGGATGTAATGGATCGTCTGGTCCATCAAACTCAACTACATATTGCTCGGGATCAGGAAGCAATGGAGGATATTCTTTCCCAGCGCCCATGGGTAGCCATTGCTCTCGGGGTAGAGGGCCTCTGGTTGAGCCAACGGTTGTCTTTTGCTGAAGGCGATAGGTATTTATGCGCTCCAGCTCTAGTGAGTTAATATGGTTTGCCGTCTCCTCGGTCAAGTCCTCGCTATCGGTGTCGGTCTCATCTAGAGATGGGCATTTGCGGTGCTCTTCTTGGTAAGTCGGGATGTCGCCCCGGGTATAATCCATTGTAAAGCGAGTATATCGAATTTATGGATATGTACAGAGAAATAGCTGCGTGTGAGAATTCGACAGAATTCTCAAGGAAAGGTTCCCAACTGCTACTAATATACACAGGAATGGATAGAGCCACAGACCCAACTAGCCCTCAAGTTTCCACATCATTTTCTTCTAGTCTTGTGTGCTCCATCGAAAAGAGAAGAGCCCACTGACGTTTTGCTGCCAAACAGAGCCTGATTTCAGTATCGGATAGACCCATTCTTTTCCGCGATAAAGATTTTTGATATAAAAATGATGTTATAGAAACGCGCACGAGCCATAGCAGCATGTGCCTGTCGGAAACGTGGCCAATCAAGGCCTCGGCAGCTCTCTGACGGCTTCGGTTATTGACGGCGCTGTGGCGAGTGTCAGGAACAGGTTAGTGAACCCTGACTCAGGACCGAGGCCAACCGAGAGTAGCCGCCATCACGACACTCGGTATCAGGACAGAAGATTTTTCATAGTTCAGGACGGAGTAAAAGTGCCGATTATGAGGATGGAAATGACGGGAAGGCCCTTCCGGCCCAGTTCTCATCGATGACCGGTACTGAAAGCCATGCCGTGAAAGCGAATGTGCATGGCCCGTTCTTCATCCCGTAGCTCTCATTGGTACCTTGATATTGGCCACCACAGAAGCTCACTCTTCCTATGAACCCACACATCAGAAAAATCTAGACTACCTTGCGGGCTGTGATTGTGATAAACAAATCGTTCTGTCACTCCGTATTGCAATCTATCAATCCGGATATTCAGGATAAGACACACCAGACTATCATTAAAAACGCTGTCAGCAATGCATCATGCTACATTGATGAAATACTTCCTGGCACACAACACGCATCGGTATGTTAAGAAATATAAGCAGTAGGGTCAATATCGTCGTAGGCCCGGCAGCCAATCAGATGCTCCAAGCGAATGTATGAGTCCGACTTTAAACCTACGGAGACCGACGAAGACTGGCTTTCTTACGATATCCCTGTGACCGATTATTATCAATTACCAAGCGGAGCCTTCAAGAATCTGACACTCGAACAGTTTTCCGTCACCTTTTCTTTAATTGAAAATAACCCACTGTTCACATACACTGTTTTGATCAAGCTTGCCAGCTCATCACCTCTTCTTATGGAGGCGCCGAGCGAGATTAAGCGGAGTCACCCAGTCTTAACGTCGTTCGAGCGGTAGCCTAAGCTTAGCGGAACCAGTCTAGCAACTCAAAGGATATCTCTACTTTGCAGGGCGACGAGAGGCACTAGCCACGAATTACGAACATCGCAAGTTACAAGCAAATTGAACTTCTTACTATATCCATGAGCACTATATGACTGGCCACATCGGGCAAATCCGGAGGCTCTATACGAGGGAAGTTCGGCTACCACTCTCGAGCCAGTTGCTCCTGGATCCCTTTGACATGCCATACTCCTCCTTTACCCACAATCCATAGTTCATGTTCCCCAAATGCCACACTCACAGCCCCATTCTCACCCCCACCGACGCGAATTGTACCCAGCGTATACCCTGTGTGGGGATCAAGAACATCAACGCCATCCCCGGCACCGCAAAAGATCAACCCATGTCGCGACACCCTGACGCCATCATAGAAGTAGGAAATGGGATTGGTGAGGAATCTTTGATTTGACAGTACGGAGCCTCGCTTCGAGACATCAAACGCCCAGAGCTGTCTCCATCCGTAAGGATCGGTCCTTTTTGGAAAGTACTTCGAGACCCCTGTCTCCGGGATGAATAATGTGTTCCCGTCAGGAGATGGCGACGCCATTGGTATTCCCAGTGGTACTATAGACTACCTTAGTGCGAAAGGTTGATCGTTCAACGAAGTAGACAGAGGGGTTTGTTGGGGGTGCAAAATCAACAATCTGTCGGCCCTATTGCGGGAGTCAGTAACCTAAGCGTTTGACTGAGGGCATGACAACCTGAACATACCCAGCCTGATCTTGAATCTGTTAGCCAAAAGTTACCCTCCCGATCAATTTCCAGGTCATTGAAACCCGAAAATGGCTGCACCAGGTAGTTGTTCAGCAATGTTGTTTTCTCGTGGCTGTGAGGGTCGATCTTTGCCAGCTCTCCTGTTTGAAGGTCACTGTATCCATCCGTTACCACGTGGATGGAATGATTGTAGTAGACGCATCCATGAACGTTGTATGTGGGAGGGTCAGTGGTTATGTTGTGCAGGGTATTGGTCTCCACATCCAGGAGGTACTGCCACGAGTGAATGCCATCGTCGCCGCCTGGTGGGCCCCATTCGACAAAAAAGAGCTGATTGGTATCCTTGATATAACATGGCGCTTCATGGACCTGGTAGGCTAGTTTTTGAACATGCTCCACTGTCGCGTTAGGGCCAATGATATCGAAGAACCTCGAATCGTAGGCTACAAAGTCAGTGATATTCAGGTACGATAACCTATCTCCGTCAGTACGTCATATAAATCGCTGAGAAGGGATGGCCTCCTTACGCTGTGCTAAGGCCTTCATCTGAGACCTCTGAGGTTTGCCAGGGAGCCTCAAACGCTGTCCGATTGAAATGGCCAGGAAGATTGGCGAATGCAGCGAGCGAAATATACGCCCATTTGGCCAGGCTGTTGTTTAGAAGCGGCGGAAGGGAGTTCAGGTAGGTATCCATATTGTAGGTATCCCTTCTTCTGCTCGGGAATAATACACTCGCAATTGCTCCTGGAGTCAGAGTTTTGTATCTAGATTAAATACACCAATTTCACCCCGCAAACCATAGTCTATAGGGGCTGTTCGAGCAACTGTCCGGGGTACTCCCAGCATAAGCCGGATGCTTCCAGGATATGACTCGCGCGACGACAAAAGAACCGACACTAGCAGAAGAATAAACTCCAACCATCGGTCATTGGCCTTGGCCTCTCCCCGGGGAGTCCCAGCTACGGACAGACCCCGTGGGTTAGATCCGGGCAGGAGACGTTGTTCCCCGCAATTATAATTTCCTGGCCTAATGTTGGCTATGCTATACTCGTGTATGCACTGCGTGACTCCCTCAAGAATTGAATCCCCGCGGAGGCTCGCCTACATGACTGTCCTACAACGTCACGTGGAAGTAGGGCTACGCGTAGCATCTACGATTCTACACATTGAGAGGGGAAGTGAGGATACAAAAAGTCAGAAGTAAAATTGAAATCAAGACACCAATCCACTGCAAGTTTTCGCTCGTCTACCAATCATAAAGTGCCTTTGGTGTCTCTACCATCAGAGTATGCCATTCATCCTCTGACAAGCACGACCGTAAACTTTTCAGCCATGCGTGGTCGTCCACCTCCAGGAAAGGGGTCTCTTTCATTGCCTCGTCATACGTCCGGACCTTCATACGTGGCGTGTGAGGCCTGCATCATTATAAAGATGTTAGTCAAGGTACCAACTACCAGGATGAATATCACTTACCAGTCACTTCCCCAGAGGATTTGTTTCGGATTCGCATCGATATAAGCTCGGACCAATGGTTTCAGGTCGTCATAGAAAGGTGCTTCATTGCTCACCCGGTACGGCGCACTGAGTTTGACATACAAATGCCCCTTGCGAACCAGGTCCATGATGTCTTCAAATCCCACTTGGCGTGTCACATCTCCCACGCACTCGGGCGGAAGCATGCTCGGACCTTTTAGTAGCGCAAAGTGATCTGTAATCAAGCGAATTCCCACAGGAGTGATCTCCTGTTCAATCACTGGTCTTAACTCCTTCCAGAACTCTGGATGGGTTTGTGTGAAGGCCATGGTCCAACCGGGGCAATGCTTCCCAATCATGCGGGCGTGTTCCAGAAGTGCAACTTTCTGAAGCTCAGCATCGTGCATAGCCTTGTACTTATAGACGTTGACTCGAATGCCTCGAATGCCGGCATTGTGCATCTCTTGCAGCTCTTCCTGTGTAACTGTCTCAGGATCAATGACTCCAATCCCCTTCGTGGAGGATTTCCCTAGCAGCTTGACGAAGCTTTTCAAGGATTCTACGTTGCTCCGTACGATAGGCCATGTGTTAACACCGAATTGGTAATACCCAAACTCTTCTTGAAATTGATGAATTGTTCAATGGTTGCAGGTGGAGGCGTCAAGTGGCGATCGGGGGCGTAAGCAAATTGTACGGCTTAGTTGTACCACTCTCGTTAGCAAGTCTCGTTACAATCCCACCTCGGGGGAGAGCTCTCACGATCGAAGATGTGGTGATGAGCATCCCAGCATCCATGCGGGAACAGCTGAGCGATAGCATTATCCTGGCTTGATACGGTCATCGCGAAGAAATAGCAGTATTTGCGTTCAGTCCGGTGAGCATCCCACTGCCGGCCGCATCGTCTAGCAATGAGCTTAAGTTATTTACTCCGGAGTATCCAGACTCAGCTGGTGGCTCATGACTTCCTGGGTCTGGAGCTGTCCTCATGTCCAGGCTCGCGGGCTACTCCGGCCGACTCCACTACAGCCTCCACACGAACGGATTCTTCCCGCTCATCCCTTCCCGTGGGGATTGACTGCTCCGGTGGACAAAAAAAGAAATGGAAAAAAAAGGAAAAGCCGCAATAGCGAATGTCGCAACAGCGGGCGACATGATGAAAGACAGCAAAGAGAGCCGATATCGTCCGATTCCAGCGCATCGGTGCGAGACCAGTGATCAATGACGCGTGATATAATTTCTCCGGTCATGGAACTGAAGGGTTATCAGATGAAACCGCAACCAGAATGTCTAAGAAAGAAGTCACTTCATGGCAATCCATAGTCGCTGGGGCTGCAGCTGGCGGCGCCGAAAGCCTTCTAACAGTAACACTCCCTTACGAATGGCACTCGGGATGAAGCTAAACGCATCGATAGTATCCCACCGAATACTTGAAAACTCGCCAACAATTACTGAATCCCAATGCCCCGAAGCAGTCTCCGGTCCAGCTATTAACCGCTACGATCCGACAACATGGTATTCGCCATCTATACACGGGTAGCATGGCCTTTTGCGTCTCTAATGCATCTAAATCGGGAATTCGTTTCTTCGCGTTCGATACTGCGAAGAAATGGATGCCTACGGACTCTTCTGGCAAGGTGACATCAACGGGAAACATGTGTGCAGGTCTGGTTGCTGGAGTTGCGGAAAGCGTACTCGTTGTCACACCCGGGGAAACATTGAAAACCAAGATCATTGATGACCGAGCGGGCGCGAAGATATACCAGTCGGCCAGCCATGCAGTTCGGACTATTCTATCGACCGAAGGCATATCTGGATTGTATCGCGGGACGCTGCCCGTCACGCTAAAGCAGTCATCTAACGCCATGGTGCGATTTACCAGCTACAACTTCTTCCTTCACCATCTCACCACGCTCGCGAGTGCGGGCGCAGGCAATAGCGCACCAGTCTGGAGTACCGTGATCGCCGGGGCGATGGCTGGTGTAGTCACGGTGTATGCTACAATGCCATTCGATACCATCAAGACACGTCTACAAGCGTTGGATGGCTCTCAGCGATACCGCGGATCTGTCCATTGTCTACAGTCAATCGTTAGTACAGAAGGTACTTTGGCGCTATGGAAGGGGACTACTCCTCGTCTCGCCCGTCTCAGCGTATGTCTCCACATCTGATTCCTTTTAGTCCATGCCGCTGGTTTTTGACACATGGTTATAGATCTCGGGTGCCATCAGCTTTGCGATATACGAGCGTGTGGTTCAGTGGACGGGATCGTTCCGAGGTTAGTGACAGCCAGGGAGAAAGGCTCTCTTTCGTTCTGTTTCGGTTTCAGTGGTGTCAGCATTTAGTTAGATCATGCATAAATAGAAGAATTGGATACCTCGTGGTTTTTGGTCAAATGTCAAGATCTAAAGTCAAATATCCTGGTTGACCGTAAGGGCATCGAGATATATATAGTGTTAGTTTGTATGTTCTGCCCATGCAGACTGTAGTGCTAGATACACAATGCAAAGGGTGGATGGTGCGTAGTAAAGATTAATGATTATTATCAATATATCAAAACTATTATCCCACCGATTCTATCTAATCCTACCTGTTAACATTCCACGATCATTCATATCGTTTTAGTCCGCCGGTCACTGACTCGGCAAGCAAGTGGATTGCCTGATTCGGAAGGCCACATCAAGCAAACATTACAAACTGCCAAGCCATTTTGCCCCGGATCTTCCTCGCATACAATGCATGATCCTGGTTGCTCTTCCCCACACCTACACGACATTAGAACAGAAAATCGTTCATATCGCTTTGATGGGCTTGTGAATCCCTAGTAAACCATATGGCACCTACAGATGCCGATGCTGTCCCACCAGCACCGTCGAAGAAGGTGCGGTTAGCCTGTCGTCGATGCCGCGCCAAACGTGTGAAGGCAAGTAACGTCCAGCCGATTAGTATGGACAAAAATTGCTTGACGACCCCAGCTAACGTTCCTCCAACCAGTGTGATGGAAGTGTTCCAGCGTGTGGGAACTGTGCTCGTGCAGGTGTTCCGTGTGTCGATGTCGATGGCCGGAACAATGGACTATCCATCCCACGAGAGTATGAGATTTTGGCATTCCACGGGTAGACAATGGCTGACGACAATTTAGCTTCATCACACGATGCTATGCCAGGATTAGCTGGCTTGAACAAAGACTGAAGGAGGTAGACCCTCAGTTCGATGTATCTCAAGGGCCTGCAGTCGACATGACCAGCATGGATGAAACAACCGCTTCTCGTCCTGCAATGTCTACTAGTGGAACAGGTCAGGAGCGTGCACATGCACCGTCACCGGTACTCGAATGTGCAGATCAACCAGTTGTTGAAGCTACCACATCTTCCAAGCGCTCGTATTCTATGGCGGAGGGGTCAGAGGTGGAACAACCCATTTTCGTTGAGCTGGGCATGCTCTCCTTGCACTCCGATTCCCGACAGAAACACTATCTAGGATCATCATCTGGTCTGCTTTTCACGAGACTAATTGGCATTGACAGCGAGCGAAGTTCTACTGCCAGCCCAGAGTTGGCGTCAACGTCCTCTCGCAGTGGTCATCGTCGCCGCTTGGCCCCTGGTCGGAGTCAGTCGCGCGAGGGCTATCAGGTTCTCTATGATCGATTGAGAGAGGTAATCGTGAAGAAAACCGTTGTATCTTTGCAACTGGGGATGCTAATCGTGAGTAAGGAATTACCGTCACCAGAGGAAGCCAGTGCCTTGTTGGAAGTCTATTTCCAGGTGATCCACGTGGATCACCCATTTCTTCATCCTCACTCAGTACGTAACGCGTATCGGGCCCTGAGAGACTGTGCAGACCTCGGCTGCAATGGCCATATAGGATCCAGTGGCTGGATTGATTCTATCAACGCGTTCTCCTACAATGGAAGATACGATATCACTGCCGGGAACGAAACCACGCCAATTTCTGTTTTCACAGCTACGTTCCATATTTTTATGGTCTTCTCACTCGCGGCGACCGTTATGACTCGGAACAGAAGCTTTGATCACTCTCCTGACAAGTATTATCGGGTAGCTATGTCAGCTGCCTCTGAATGCTTCTGCAGCATCTCCGTGCCAGCTCTACAAGGAGTGCTGCTGCTAATGGTCCAGGGCTTGATTGGTCCTGCCGCTATCAACATCTGGACGCTCTCGTACATTGCCACGTCGCATTGCATTGACTTAGGCCTCCATCGAGAACCCACTGACTACTCTGAACTCACACCCACCGCATTGACGAATCGCCGGCTTATCTTCCATACAGTCTATTCCCTTGACCGGTACGTTACTCTCCATACGCAATGCACCTCGTAGAATACATGCTCAAAAGCCTATCATAGCTCCATATCAACAATCCAAGGAAGGCCACTGGGTATTCGGGACGAGACGTTTGATGTAAGGTGGCCAAACTTTGAGGAAATCCAAGAGTTCACATACCCAGCCGAACAGAGTAATGATACTAATGAACTTGATGTGCAACTGCCATCGCCAGAGACCATGGCTTTGTGCATTTATCGCTTCCGGGTCGACTCTTACATCTCGGAAATAAAGCTTCTATTCTATAGGTTGCCAGCGCAAGGGGATGCCATCATATGGCCCACGGATCTAGCTAGCATACAGCAGCGCATAAAGGCCAAGCTAGATGATTGGCTAGCTGAGACGGCGAGTCTTCGGCCGACATCAAACACGCAGGACATCGAGGACAGAGATTTGAAATTTCACTGCGAGCAACTTAAACTGGAATCATTGTACCATTCGGCTATCACCCTGCTTTTCCAGCCGTCCCAAGTCTTTCGGTCACCGTCAAGGGCTGCTTTGAACCTGTGCTACCAGAGCTGTCGGCGGCGCTTACGGATATACAAGTACCTCAACCATGAAGAAAAGCTGCACTATACCTGGCGGCATGTACATGGCATTTTCTCTTCTGGGGCCACGATCGTCTATTGCTTTTGGGCCTCGCGTGACCTCCTAGAAACGATACCATTCTCGGAAGCTCTGAGCGATCTTCGCACATGCTCTAACCTACTCAGCGTTGGCAGCCAGTGGTGGCCGTCTCTTCGCAAAGGAAAGGACAGTTTTGATAACATGGTAGATCTCACAATCAAGCGATTGAGCCAGCTACAAACCTTGTCTCAACTGCAGCCACCATCACGGGTACAACGGCGACGGATTGTCCAGTCTTCAGATCCGCCACCACTCGCATCGAATATGGGTGCTACACCGGATATGGTCCACACGCAGATGGGGGTACCCGTTCTTGACCACCATCATGCTGTTGTATATGACTCTGTCAGCTCTGTTGACGCCGCAGCCACGGCCACAGAAACTGTGCGAACCGGCTCATACCAGGAACACCATACTCAGAGCGAACTCGACCCGTTTTTATCACAGATTGGTAGCCTTCTCCCGGCTGACTCCGACCAATCTACCATTGACTCAGCCATGGAGGGCTTCTTGGTGGAATACTTGCATGGTGACTGGGGCTGGGATCCGTTCTCTAGCACTAGCATGGAAAACCCAGAGTACGTATGATACGCGAACCGTACAAACAGGCCAGAGTTCTCCCAAATCAGTGTGACTTGTGGCTTTATGCTATACAAGGTAACCTATTGCGCCATCTATCTATTTCCTTAATCGCTTGATCGTGGGGCCCATCTCTTCCCCCCTTTCTAAACACAACCGGGTCTCCTCATCAATCTCAAAACGCTCTTGGCAAAGTCGGACGCAGTCCTCCACCTTGTCCGCCGGTACTGCCACCACACCGTCTACATCCCCCAGCACATAGTCTCCTGGGTTAATGACCACCTCTTCGCCAATTTCGCGATTCTCGTACGCGACTGGCACGTTCAGCTCTGACGACCTGGTGAAAGTATTTGACCCTAGGATGCTGACTCCACGCGCGAAGAGGCCCATATCCAGCTCTTGATGCTCATTGATATCTCGGAAGCGGCCGTCAATAACGACCCCAGCTGCACCTTGTTTCTTGGCGCGGGTGCTCATCAGGCCGCCCCAACAGGCGCTGATCAATCCTTTTGGCTGCGAAACGAAGACGACGCTATCTCGAGGTATGTTATCGACAAAATGACGCTGGGGGGAGGGCGCGGTTTTGTCGTTGGCATGGACCATGCGGACCGTGTAGGCAGGGCCGAAGATCTTTGCTTTCGGGCTCGTCGGCCCAGGAGAGAACATTTTTAATCCCGATAAGTAGCCACCACAGGGCACTTTAAGCTTAACTAGCGCATCACCAATCTATTATTCAATTCCGTGAGCTTTTCCGACCCGTGATGTTCCCTAGATTGTGTTCGGTGATGAGTAGCTTAACTCACATCGCAGGAAGTAAACTGTTGAAGAGCCCGGATGGCACTGGATCGGCTGGCCATTATGATTAAGTTTTGACCAAAGGCTAAAATACACGATCTGTCGCAGAAGGGAATCGAGGAAGATGAGTGCAATACCACCGAGGAGGCGAGGGTTGAAGAAGTCAAGCTGAAAACGCCGACGAGCGGAGGAAAGCCGACTGAGGGTTCGGAACGATCCGAACGTTCGCTGATTGGTCCGGAGTAGTCCTGAGAGCTCCAAAGCTTCTCCAATAATCTACAAACTGGATCTCCAACTTGCCTTTATCTTTTTTTTCTCGTCTTCTTGATCCTCTCAAACATCTTGTCCTTCATGGTCGCACGAATTGGAGGAAGAAATTGACAATGCAGCGCTTTCTATCCCCAGTTTTACGCGCCGGACGACCGCAAACTCGTCTGGTCGGGGCGCCTGTCAGAAGTCTCGCAACCCAGAATAACACAATCCCGGTGTGTATTCCGTATTTCGCATACTGACGGAGGCCTCATGCTGACTACTCATGGAAACCAGCTATTTGGGGTCAACTATGGCGAGCAACTTAGCAACCTAGATGCAGTAAGGCAAGGCTCGAAGCGCCCTCTGACATTGACCGAGAAGCTGCTATACAGCCACTTGATCCCGCGCGATGATAAAATATGGTCGTTGCAGGAAATCGATCGGGGGAAGACGATTTTGGAATTGCGACCGGACCGTGTCGCCTGTCATGATGCTACCGCGACCATGGCCCTCTTACAGTTTATCAGTGCGGGCCTGCCGCGAGTCGCAGTCCCAACGACGGTCCATGGTGATCATCTTATAATCTCCGAGAAGGGAGCAGAGCCAGACCTAAAGCGGGCACTTACAGAGCATGCCGAAGTCTACGAATTCCTGAGTAGCGCGTCTAGAAAGTATGGAATCGGGTTTTGGAAACCTGGTTCAGGGATCATCCACACAGTGATCTTTGAGAACCATGCCGTGTACGTTTCCCAATTATTTTGTTTGGAGATATATATATCTAGTCATACTAATCATCTGTGTTACCGTAGTCCTGGCGGCCTGATTATCGGTACGGATTCTCACACGCCGAATGCCGGTGGCTTGGCTATGATGGGCATTGGTGTTGGCGGTTCTGATGCAGTTGATGCGATGTCAGGAATGCCGTGGGAGTTAGTCACGCCTCATATCGTCGGGGTGCGCCTGACCGGCCACCTATCCGGATGGGCATCCACAAAGGACATCATCTGCAAGCTCGCCGGCATCTTGACCGTTTCTGGAGGCAAAGGTCGCGTCATTGAGTTTTTTGGTCCCGGCACGGAAACTCTGGGAGCTACGGCTATGGCGACGATCTGTAACATGTCTGCAGAGATTGGCTCGACTTCCTGCATATTTCCTTACACCACTGCGATGGAGCGATATCTTGCAGCGACGAAGCGGGCGCATTCAGCTAAGGCGGCACAAGAGGTTAAGCAGGTATTGCTGCAAGCCGATGAAGGATCGGAAAAATACTATGATCAGATTATCGAAATTGACCTGAGCACCCTCGAGCCACACGTCAATGGGCCCTACACCCCGGACCTTGCCCATCCCATCTCAGAGTTAGGGAAAGCAGCCTCGCAGAGTGAATGGCCCATAAATCTGAGCCATGCGATGGTTGGAAGCTGCACCAACAGCTCCTATGAAGACCTTGACAAGACGCGACAGCTCGTCGCACAAGCTCGTGAGGCTGGGTTAGCCAAATTTAAAACACCCTTCCTCGTTGCGCCTGGCAGTGAGCAGATTCGCGCCACTGCTGAAGCTGATGGTATACTCCAAGAGCTGCAGGATGCCGGTGCCGTTGTACTGAGCAGCTCTTGCGGGCCTTGCGTTGGCTCGTGGGACCGCAAAGATGTCGATGTGCGGGGCAAAGAGAAGAACTCAGTGATATCCAGCTTCAACCGGAATTTCGTGGGCCGGCACGATAGCAATCCAGCGACTCACTCATTTGTTACCTCGCCAGAGATAGTGACCGCCTTTGCTTACGCTGGACGCCTTGACTTCAACCCGTTAACAGACAGCATTGCTGTAGAGTCTAATGACGGAGAGAAATCCTTTCAATTCAAAGCCCCTGTGAGCCGGGAACTTCCATGGAATTTTGCTTCAGGAGAAGAAACTTTCCAAGAGCCTCCAAGTGATGGCTCATCATTGTCTGTAATCATCGATCCGCAGTCCGACCGCCTGCAACTGTTGACTCCATTTGCACCATGGCAGCCCGGGTGTGCTACTGACATGGAACTGTTGATGAAAGTGAAGGGCAAGTGCACCACAGATCACATCTCACCGGCAGGGCCATGGTATAAATACCGAGGTCACTTAGAAAATATTAGCAATAACATGCTCACTACCGCAACAAATGCATTCCTCCCTGGTAACGACCCACAGATGCTAGGCCACACTCGCAACCCCATTACGTTGGACGTGGAGGTTGTGCCTCAAGTGGCCCGTGAACTCCAAGGGCGTGGGATCCGGTGGTGCATTGTCGGCGACTTCAACTACGGCGAAGGAAGCTCACGCGAACACGCAGCCTTGGAACCTCGTTATCTTGGAGGGGTGGCCGTAATTGCGCGCTCCTTCGCGCGGATACACGAAACTAACTTGAAGAAGCAAGGGATGTTACCTCTGACATTCGAAGATCCTTTGGACTATGACAGGATCATGGAAGGCGATCGTGTGACATTAATTGGAGTCGAGGATGGTGAATTGGCACCCGGTCGACAGGTTACCATGCGTGTCACTCCACGAGAGGGATCCCCGTGGAATGCGCAGTTGAACCACAGCTATCATGCTGGCCAGCTGCACTGGCTGCGCGCTGGCAGTGCTTTGAACCATATTAAGCATACCGCCCTCACTAAATAGGCGGGTTTTGTATTTGAATGTTTATACCACTATAGATTTCACACTTGTACATTGTTTTATGCCATTAGTTACAATGATTTTAAAGAATATTCACCTTCATCGTCTGTTTGCCCTAAGGTCGCTGTCCACGTATCCGCGTCGATAGAACGCAACAATAATCGTACGAGCCGGATTAAACAAAAACGAGGGCAAGGCCCCACGCTCGAAATGAATCTGGAAAGTATAACCACCACACTCGGGATTTCGCGCCTTCGGTGAGGATTATAATTGGAACTCCCTCATTGGCGATGTATATGTGTGGGGTAGCGTAGAATAAGCTTTTTCCACGACACCGGAACACTCCTGCATCGGAGCACTCCAGACTCAACGGGCTCGGCACCAATGTCCCAGTGGATACGATGGAGGATGCTGTCCGGGGTATGTCCGTGTAATCGACCCTAGCTAAGTGGTCAGCTTCTTTAGTGTGAGGACAAACCCGTTCATGGAGACTTTGACTAACTTGCCACCTCCACACCATGCCTGTCAGACAATATCCGACGACACCAATGATGAGGCTTGAGCCCCGCGCAAATATGCCTTAGAGGTAAAGGATACTTAGGGTTGGAGGTTGTCCAGTCTTCTGCTACCCAGTCTTGTGCTGAGATTAGTCCAAGGTTGTACCTCCGACTTGTCCGCTGCAAATTCCTTCTATCTGCTTCTAATATCCTTCATCGACTCGTTCTTTCATTGTTTCACCTTTCTCTGTACACGACATTCAGAAGACATGGGTGCTGCCGGCGGTGGCTTCTCCCGGGATGCTGTAAAGCAGATACCTGCTGAAGCAAAAAGGCTGTACATCTGGCTTGCTGTGATTTGGTCCAGCTACTGCGGCGGCCTCCATGGATTCAATACATCTAACATCTCCGGGGCCATGAGCTTGGATCCCTTTGTCCGGGACTTCCACTGGACAGATTTGAGCGATGCCCAAGTATCAAATAACAGTGGCTGGGCGGTCTCCTCTATGCTCCTGGTATGTCCCCTCTGACCCTGGCGTCTTCTCATGTCTCGAAGTGTTGACGGGAATAGGGGCAAGTGCAGGTATCCTTCTATCAGGACCATTGGGTGAAAGACGGGGGCGGAAACCTGTTATTATGGCCTCTGCTATTTTCTATACAATTGGCGCACTACTAATGTGTGGGAATGTTGGTTCGTTCGCCGAATTGCTCGTGGGGAGAGTTCTCTCCGGTATAGGGTCGGGATTTGGTATGACAGCCGGGCCTGTATACATCTCTGAAGTTGCCCCCCAGGAACTACGTGGTATGATGACGACTTTCTACAACATCAATATCATGGGTGGTGTTGCGGGAAGTTACTGGATCAATTTCGCATCGCAGGGTGTTATATCTTCGGAATCTAGTTGGCAGTGGCGTACTACTTTTGTCTTGCAAGCTATTCCGTCGGTTATTCTATTCATTGGCTATCCTTTCTTTCCGGAAAGCCCTCGATATCTTATGATGCGTGGGCGGGTGGAAGCTGCCCGCAGCAATCTAGCGCGACTCCGAGGTGGGCTAGATGAGTCCAACGATTACTTTGCTCGGGAGTGGATGGAACTGCAGAGCAAAGTCGACACTACGGCGGAGGCATCCACTCAGTCAGCGCTCAAGTCAACCCTATCTCTCCTAAAAACATGCATCTCCCATGCACCCACGCGCCGTCTTTTGATATTCGTTACCCTGATCCAAACATTCTTCATCATGTCGGGTGGAAACTCCATTACCTATTACGCGCCGACAATTTTAAAGTCAATAGGGCTAGACTCCAGACAAGTCCTTCTTTTCACTGCTGTCTATGGACTTATCAAAGTGGTTTCGGTCTTCCTTTATGCCTTCTTCTTTACGGATCGTTTTGGTAGGCGGCCACTCCTTCTCATTGGGTCCGCCGTGAACACGGCTTGTTTGCTCTACCTAGCCGTCTATCTCGGTGTTGCCGATCTGTCTGGTTCAGCTGCGCCGTCCCCGGCCACCTGGGTCAGTATCGTGAGTATCTGCCTCTTTGCCGTCGGTTACGCGATTGGCTGGGCACCGGCCTTCTCTCTGACTGCATCGGAAATCTGTCCCACACATCTGCGCGGCACCATCGTCATGCTCACATTCACGTACCAAAATCTGCTGAACTTTGGCATCACAAGAGGATTTCCTAACATGATTGTTTCTATGGGATCCTTCGGGCCGTTTGCCCTATTTACGGCGTTCACTGCGTGTGCCACTGTCTGGGTGTTCTTTGCTTTCCCTGAATGCAAGGGACGTAGCATGGAGAGTGCGAGTGCATTGTTTTCACTCCCATGGTATAAGATTGGGTTTCAGAAGGTCCCGACCCTTGGCGAGGAGACAAGGGAGAACGATGATGAAGAGAAGGTAATCTCTATTCATGATGAGGATGTTCAGGCAAAGGTTAAAGAGACGACGGCCTAAGGGATGGATGACTCTGGTTACAGAGATGAATATTCATGGGCCCCAAGATATAGCTATAATTATCAGATTATATGAACGTTGTTCTTAGCCTATGTACTTTAGCTGCCATTGCATCTGTGGTGGTAGGACTCTTCAGGAGAGAATGCGCAATGAGTTAGAGTAGCTTAATGCGAGTACTAGTGCACCAAGCACAGTCTATATTTCTTCAATCATAGGTCCAAGATAGGGCTAGAAAGCCCAAAGATCCCAAATACGCTGCTTTATGCGCATTGCAACCGCACCCAGCGAGCTCTGCACCTCTCAGTAGACCTGCCATTTTTATCGTTGATACAACGATACGCGATCGATACCGGCCTGGAATTGATGAGGTTTAGACATTGAGAGAACATTCTCAGGGTAAGCTTTCTCGTCCCAAGCCTTCTGGTGTATCTCATTGTGACTGGAGACACTATTACCTTAGTTTCACCAGCCTACGATTGAAACTTGATATGTATTGTACGCAAGATACTTCACGACGGGGCTCAAAGCCAACCCGCAAGGACTAGCTCTCGGTTTACTACAATATACTGCTGGCCTAATATGAAAACGAGATCGGTAGACTTTGCAAAACCATCCTTGAAAGCAACAAGGCCCTGATAAATGACGGCATACCGTCGAGTGTATCGTTGCCTTGGTGGTGGTACGGTATATTCAATGGAAGAGGAAGGCGCAATGGACTTTCGTTTGGAGGCAGATTTTGTTATTGGGTCATAAGCCTGTAGACTAGACTCCTTTGGATTTCCTCTACAGAAAGCTTTGAAAGATACCATTTCCAGAAGGTAATTACCCAAATCTGGATGGCCTGCTGATACTTGCTATATATAGTACTGACCATGGCAGAGTTATAAACTCCATTTTGGAATAGCTCCCACTGCAGGGTAGGCCTATCGATTACAGTAAATAGAGGAAAAATGACTTACATGAGTAGCTATTATAGAGCATACTTACCTCATATTTATCGTCTTTGGCTCAAGAGAGATGCCAAGGAACATTCCTATCCCCGCGCCACTCCAAAAGGCACTGGTCGAGTGCTTCCGAGCAATCGCCCGCCTGGTTCGACCAGAGCTTCAGCGTGAAGTCGTCTTGGTTGGTGGTGCGGCCAGCGTCGCCCATAACTCGGTATATTACACTGAAGATGTAGATATTGCGGCCCCAGAGAATGTCCTGTTGGACATATGGGTGGGTGTGACGGCCGGCACCCCTGAGTTCACCATGGTGCCCGATGGCACGGTCTGCTTCAATGCCCGCCAGGGATTTCCGGTCCAGATCGATCTGATCCAAATTGGTGATAGCCCTATGGACCGCATATATAATGCAGAGCCCTTCTATGAAGGGTCAGTAGCCTCCGTATCAGACCTATTGCGGCTACGGGCCATGTCGTATGTCGACTGTGGGAAGTCTGGGGACGATGTAGATTTCAAATGGTTATTGTGGGAGGTGGCTAGTGGGGGTCAAATTCTTCCAGAGCTCGATAATGAGGAGCGGGCGTATGTCGCCGAGGCTGGGAATTCTTTGTTAGGGAGGGCTGACCGGCTGGGTTTGCTGGCTGTACTGAGTGAGAAAGATGCAACTGTGGTTTTTAATACGATGGAAACATAAAAATCCATTTTTATTATGGTTCGAACGGCAGGACATTGCCTTATTTGTCGCCAATTCATCTGGTATTAAGTACAGTGAGCCTGTCTCTTTCGACAAGTATGAAAACATATGGTCCCTTGTGGACTCAGCTGGATGCATGGGGCATTAACCGCTTTAGAATACAGAAATGTGAGATGGATAAAGAGCTAAAAGAAATGCTAGCAAAATATCTTCGTGGCAGCTCAGAGGGCTCTTTGCAGGTCCAAGTCGACGAGCCATGCAGGGTGGGTGGGAAAGTCATCGGAGCCTTCAATAGCGGCATTGACAAACAGGGTGTGATGCCCATGTTGAAGGGAATTTGCATCACCAGCACAGTGGCTGGTCAGGTAAAACGCTCGGGGGCCACTCGCCTCGATATTGGAGAGCTTTTCGATTACTGTTGACTGGCCGTTGTCGATGTCTGTCAGATGGGACGGTTTCTCGCTGATTGTCTTGCGCCATGCGATCAGTTTGGCTCCCCAACTTCCATGAATGTGTCCAAAGCAGTGCATTCGCGGTCTGCATCGAGCGACCTTGTCAAAGAGATGCTCACAGCCTGCCCGCCGACTAGACATAGAATGATCCAGGATGCCCCGAGGCGGGCCATGCGTCATAACAAGATCAACACTCCCAATTGCAAACTCATGACCTTCGTCCGGTTTATACTGAAAGCCCCATTCCCCAAACGATGGGGTGTACGGGCTGGCGTATACTGTTAAGGACGCGCCGTTATTAAGAGTAAAGTAATGGGTCCCTTCGTCTAGAAGTCGGATCCCGCTTTTCTTCACGTCGACATGGTCAAACAGCTCTCGAACCTGCCCACAGTAACCGTACTCTTTCTCGATCAGTAGTGGGTCGATATCTTGCAGCCTTTGAGCTTCATGGATTTTGTTCTGAAATGCAAGAGGGTCGAGTGTGAAGTCGTGATTGCCCGCGATAACAAGTTTGAGTGGGGCGTTGATCTGCTTTATGAGATTGATGGCTGCTTTGAATTCGTGCAGTCTGGACCCCATCGTGAGATCGCCACAGTGAATGGCCACATCTGCAGGTTCATTCGATGATGGTATGGAGTCGCGGCTGTGCGTGTCTGAGATGACGAGAAACCTCGTTCTGATGGTAGCCATATTGAAGATTCAGGGCTGAAGACTATCCGTTGTTCTGACAAGTAGTAGTGTGGTGTACGGCTTAGCAAATATCAAAGATGAGGCTGGACACATGGAACCTCTTCGGCGGGTTCGAGCATCCATCCTTATCACATGACACCTTTGCATCATTGCTATAGCATCAACGATGCTTCTTGAGGAAATAGTGAAGTCATCGTTACCTGAATAATCAGGCCAGAGAACTCGTGTACAAGATAGGTATGTCGTGGCTGCACTGTAGCACATACTTTGAGGTGTTCAATAATATACTAGCATCAATTTACTGTCTATCCTTGCGGGGAATTTCAACTATCATAGCCCAAGCATCACTACTACCTAGTTAAACTTATAGCAAGAATGCATTCGAGTGGCATAACGTTATCATTGCGATGTTTATATACAAAAACGAGGCTACCTCCCCAACTCCTACGGGGCAACACGGCTCATGATTCTCCATACCGACTTCAAAGCAGACTGAAAGCAGACTGCAACCAGCCACAAGCGTCTCACATAACTTCATTCCAGCACTTGCCACGGCCAAGTGCTTTGTCACAGTCACTACCGGGGAAGTTCCTCCAGGTCGAGCCATTCTTCTTGCAGTTCGAGAACCATCCGTTGTAGTCCATGCAGATGTCATGTCGTTTCTTGCACTTATCACTGTGAATGTTGAACTTGTCGCTGCAGTTCGGGCCGCCATGGTTGTTCATGCAAGACTTCTTTCCCTCTCGCTTCGAGTGGCTGCCATGATGATCATGGTCGAGGACAATCTTCTCGCCAAAGTCGTAGACGAGCACTTTACCGTACTGAGCGTGCGGCTTCGCGGCCTTTGCAAGGTAAATAATACCATCTTTGATGATATTGCCTTCGACACCCGTAATCGAATCGGTCTGTCTTCGGCCCAGTACCGAGCTGTCGCCGTTGACTTGATCGAGGTCCAACTCGCCCAGTGAGTTCGCCTCATGCTGCTGGCCGTCATGCTCGACAAGCGCTCCGTCGACGGGGAAATAAGCTCGCAGTGTGCCGGACCCTTGATCGTAGAAGTAGTTTGGCATGTTCTTCCACACGTCAGGGTTCTTGTTGTAGTGGTCGTTGAGGTCGTCCAGCTCTTCCGCTGGGATCTTGATGGTTTTGTAACCGACTAATTTGACAGTGTCGTTGCCGAGCGAATAGTCCAGTGAGTTAATATAACGCTCTTCAAAGAGTCTTAGGTCTCGCTCAGAGAGAGGCAGGGCATAAGAAAGGTTGGAGGATATCGCAAATGCCGTCAGGGTCAACAGCCTGGAAATGAATGAGGTCTTCATATTGAGAAACTACTCGTCAGTTAGGTCGATGTTTGATAAGAAGGCTGGTGATGGTTTTGAGATTTATAGGGTATCTCGCGTGCTATTTATCTTCCATTCTCCAGAAAGGTAAAATACTATATTGGCACTCTCCTTGTTTATTCCTCACATACTCCCACATTAACACGAGTTTCTCAAGCTGTTAAAATGCGTCACGCATGAGGCCATCCCAGAAGCGATGAAGATTGTCCTCATCACGGCTAATTTAAGAAACTATACGACCTCTCGCTCGATTTCACGGTCTTCACTCTTCTTAGCCTGAAATGAATACGGAGAATTCATTTCTGAAGAACTATTTTTGGTACAGCCAAGAGCGTCGATCACGGGCGATTGTAGTATCCAATCGTCTGGCGGTCTTTACGATGCCAATGCTGAATAGCCTCGCCGGTGTTATGCGAATACGAGCTCCGCGCACTGGGTCATGGTCTTGGCAGAATTTTGATGTCGCTTCGTATCAGTCCCTCACATGATGTAATATAGACATCCACTGATTTTGACCCTTGCTCGCTCAATTGTAATGCGTTCATTCGACGAGGGGGTAACCCCAGACCGAGGCTTCTGTGAGATGCTGCAAACCTGAACGTATTAGAGAAAGGTATCAAGACAAGACATCATAAGTTGGTGGCATTGCAGATCCGTCCTCGTATTGCGGGAGAGACGAGTTTTCATGCAGAAGGCCCTCGGGCAGGTCTTCGCCAGTCGTCACTTCGTGCAGCGACAGAGGGTAAAACGCCTTGAAGGATTTCCACAGCCTTTTTCGATCCAGTAGGCTCCTTGTTTCCTGGTGGTAAGTGTCTTCACCAGTGATGATTTCAAGCTTTAGTTGATGGCTAACGGTAATTGCTCTCTTCTTGGTAGATAGCATGTAAGGTCGAGGAGATTCCGAAGTTGCTTGATTTGGAAGCCCTGGTGCAGAGGAGACACGGTATGAAGAGATATCTAAGCTGTCTACAGCTTTTGCGCTCCGTGGGATCGTGATCCCGAACACGATGTCAATTTCCCCATCAGTGTCTTCAATATTCGACTGGGTCGTTGACAGGCCCCTACTGGCAGTCCATCGCCCTTTCTGTGTCCCGCGTCCTACTTGGCGTACGCATTGCTTCTCGCATGTCGTGGTGTCCTCGTGCCCACCAACCGTGGTGACCGTCATTAAACGAACTGTCTCTTCCACCCATCACCTGAGCTCTTTGATGACCACATACTTCATTTCCATAGGCCGATCCCCGGGGGTAATTGTTCGACGAGCGAGAAGATTGGCAGAGTATGTTAATCTCGTGGCACTTGGGTCTACAGATACCTCTGGCGTCAGGCACAGTTCTGTTGACAATGTTGCCCCGTGATAGTTTCGAACGTGACTGACACCATAACCGGGACTAGGAAGCACGCGACGAGCTATCTGGATCGGTCTCGTCGTGCTTGTCGAGGTCCCTGAGGGCCAGGTTGCGGTGGCCGTAAGCGTGTAGGATACTTCCCCTACCATTGTCTTCATGGTTCCTGGCAGACTAGCAGGAATGGGAATAAGAAATTGAAATCGCAGTAGCCTCATGCCACCGTGCTGGTCAGCTGTGGATACCGTTGGCGAGCCTTCCAATCTACACTTCATGACTGTTTCTACATCCGAACAGCCTCGAAACTCATGAGCCGCATTGACTCGGTTCGGAGCTAGGCGCCGCCTCGACAGGCGCTTGAATAGATGGACATTTTTCTTACCGATAGCCATGGAGTCGCGCGTTCGGGTTGTTAATTCTTGATCGAAGGTGAGTGTGATATCAGGGTAGTCTGGCTGGTCGGATCTAGGAGACGAAGTTGGTACCAGAACAAATCCGGACAATCGAGGGCTATAGGCCTCATTGCGAGACAACAGGGTTATGTGATGGGTACTGGAAGCTTCTAGCTGTAGCTCCCCCGGTTTCACAACACCGTCGGCGCATTGGCATCCATCGTGGATACGCTGTGTGCCAGGCATCAAGAGTTGTTGTATCGTACACGCGATTGATTAGGATGATGGGAGTACAACGAGTTGTCGCCAGACTTTTCACAGCCGGTGCCTGTCAATGCTTTTAACATGTCAGTCCATTGTAGATAAATGTACCATGGGACAATGTGGAGGTATAATAACGTGGGGCAACTGCTTCCTCGACATAGTCCATACAGATCACGAATCTGATGATGCTAATGTATGCAAGTGGGTCCGCGGTAGTTGAAGTTCCCGAAGAGGAAGCCAAGGAGTACGTTTATCCTTTGCGCTTGAGATGTAGATCCACTATCCCGAACCAATCACGTTCCTATCTTTCCTGAGCATCAGACATGGAAGCCAACCAGGGCGATATCATGGGTGCTCTTCACCTAGCTGTGAGAATCGTGGTGCATTCAGCATATAACCGGCTACAAAGGCCAATAGACAAAGACTAATCCACTAGAGAACTAACAAAGAATGGAATAAAGGGGGGGAGGGCATAGAAGTATATAGCAAGAGGGAAACAGAGGATATGTATATTTGGAGGTTTGGCAAAGCCTCGTATCCTTGGAGATATGTCCTTGATATTAGAAAGACAACGCTTCTCGTCCAGTCGTAATAGACCACTGGTGTGGTAGAACTGTAACCTAACCAAGTTACATGTCCAGTTCGATTATCATTGCTGGCTGGAATTTACCACTCAGGGTCGGTATACCTGTAGATAGCAGAGAGCCGGCTTACCAACCCTCGACCTTGTTCTAAACGGTTTACAGAACACTGGCGCATCGCTGCTACGGCATTGGAGACACTGACCCGTACTGTCATACAGCAGGCTGGCCGATATGTGTTGTTCGAGAATGTTTCCTTTATCTTCGTCCCGCAATGTCTTGTTGTGCGACGGTGTTCGAACTTGAAGCTGGTCTGGATCGCTCAGGACGACCGAGAAGGGTAATACATGGTTGAGACTGGAATTATCGTCATCTGTGAAGGCCAATGAACGTAGCTTGTGCTCTACCGGTAAAGGCTGGTTGGAGAACATAGTGCTAGTATATGCACTCCCATGCGGCATAGACATGGAGATTGGCAGGCTTGCAGTCCTCTTCTGTTGGACTGTGGCAATAATCCAAGGCTGGATGGTTTATGTCTTTCAACCCTCGTTTTATTCCCTTGGGATTGCTCAGACATCGTTGGGCCGTCCAGTATTGCTCATAATTACTGACTTGGGTGGATTCGACAACGCCTTGATCATTCGAGCCCCGAAGCACGCTAATATCGAGGCGAGATCATCCACGATCCGTGCGACCAGCACAAGCTGCCGAACCGACTCGCAGCCGATCGGTTAACTAGTGTGGCCCCAACGGTAGCCAACCCGGTCTGCTTCTAAGCTTTGTACGTAATTGCCACTGTTGTTTGTCTTCCTTCTCATGGTTGTTAGAACCCATCCGTGCTTGAGAGGGCCTTAGGGAGTGGAAGTTGAGGAAGATATACGGAACTCGGGATCTCTCCATGTCCGCATGAACTGCATCATTCTAGAAGCAGCCACGAAAGCACGAAACAAATACAGAAACTCAATTAAATTAAGGAAGAATCTGGAATACTAGGATTTTCTTTTTACTGCATTATTTTTTAATTTATTAGTTGAAAACTAATATCAAACCAGCAAGGTGAAACTCTTTCGCAGGTAA